TGGAAGCCAGCTTCAGCTAATAGCTAGATCTTCTAAATAAATAAATTTAAATAAGAGAAAAACGATAACCCAATAAATCTGTACATTATGCATCAATCAAAAATGTTTAAAAATTAAAGGAGCTGGGCATGGTGACAAATGCTTGTAAACCCATCACTCTGGGAGTCTGAAGCAAGAGAATGCCAAGTTCCCCCAGCCTAGGCAACTCAGTGAGACCCTTGTCTCAAAATAAGAAATGAAATAGGGCTAGAGCTAGAGCTTGGCATGAAGGCCCTGGTGGGTTCAAACCTTAGTGCTACCAAAAATAATAATTAGTTATTAAAATAAAGGAAATGGCTGAGTAAATTATGATATACTCATAAGATGAAGTATAAAAATACCAAATAACTGTTTGTGAGGGTCTGTGGAATATTTAAGTTTCTGAAAGACCTTTAAGGGCTGTAGGTTTTCTTGGTTTTTTTGTTTTTGTTTTTGTTTTTTTGAGGCAGGAGCTCACTACATAGTTCAGGCTGGCCTTGAACTCACTATGTAGTCCACACTGGCCTTGAACTTGTACCAATCCTCCTCCTGCCTCAGCCTCCCAAGTGCTAGGATTACAGGCATGTACCACACTCAGCTAGAATATGCTATCTATGTTAACATGCAATGGCCTTGTTTTTATTGCTTTACATGAATTAATAAGTCACTAGGGCCAGGGATTTAGCTCAGTGGTTCCGCCACCTGTCTCGCAAGGGCAAGGTCCTGAGTTCAATCCCTGGTACCAAAAAAAAAAAACAACAAGTCACTATTTTTTGTTTGTTTTTGAGACAGGGTCTTACTGTGTAGCTCCGGCTGGCCTTAAACTATGTAGCCCAGGCTGGCCTCAAACTCAGCCTCTCAAGTGCTGGGATTACAGGCAGGCACCACCATGCCCAGCCCAGTCACTATTTTTTAATTTCTCAGTTTGATTTTTTTAACACAGTAAATACCAACAGATATAGCCATATAAACAAAAAGACAGTACTACAGGGTCCTCCTATCAAAAAGCATTAAGAAGGGCTGGGGATTTAGCTCAGTGGTTCCAGTGCCTGCCTCACAAGCTCAAGGTCCTGAGTTTGATCCCTGGTACCAAAAAACCCCCCAAAATTTACCAAACAAAAAGCATGAGAATGACTAATCTAGAAAGACTTGTTACAAATGAAAAAATAACAAAGAACCACAATTAAATTAGGCATGTGTAGATTCTAAATGTGATCTGCAAATGTCTTAAATTCTCTTTTTAAATGAAAGCCAATTAAATTAATGTATTTAACCCTTTACCCAGCAATCTCACTTCACAGAATTTATTCTAGCAAGGAATGGTACAGCATGTAATCCCACCACTTGGGAGGCTGAGGCAGGATTGCCAGGAGTTCAAGGCCAGCCTGAATTATAGAACAAAAAAAGAATGTATTCTATAGTCACACTTATATATGTAGAAAATACCACTTGTTCAAGTTATTCATTGCAGCACTGTATATAACAGAACAATAATGAAAACAACCCACGGTGGCATAAAAGCAGGTCAACAAAATGACAGTACTTCCATTATATGAAGTACTATGCAGCCCTAATGAAGGGTAAAAGTGTTCCATATGCCCACAAGGAAAGGTCTAATATAGGTACTAGAGGGAAAAGGCACAGTGATAAACAATGTCTAAAATGCTACTTTGGAGCATTTATAAAAGGAGGGGCTGAGTGCTAGGAGGCTGAGACAGAAGGATCACCATGAATTTGTGGTCAGCCTGGGCTACACAGTGAGATAAGGCCAGCATTAACTACATAGTGAGACCCTGCCTCAAAAAAAAAAAAAAAAAAAGGAAAAAGGGGGCCAGTTCTGATTTTTGAACTATGTAAACACAGAGTCTAGTGAAAAAGTTTAACAAAATAAAGAAAACTGGGCATCACAGGTGATAAGGATAGGTGTGATTTTTATATACAATTTAAAAGTCTAATTAGAGGACCTGGGGACTCAGAAAAGGCTTTGGCCCTAAACCAAAAGACCTGGTAAAGGGGCTGGGGATCTAGCTCACTGGCACAGCACTGGCCTAGCATGGCCAGCAGTGCAAAAAAGTTCTGGTGAATAAAAATGTACCTTTTAGGGCCGGGGATTTAGCTCAGTAGTTCTGCCACCTGCCTCGAAAGCGAAAGGTCCCAAGTTTTATCCCTGGTACCAAAAAAAAAATGTACCTTTTAAAGATAAATCACTTAAAATGATTTTTCTTTTAATTCCCAACTTTTGATGGATTTTTAAAAAAATTTTTATTAACTACTGATACTGAGAACCTTCAGGCCTCCACAATAATAAACTCTGGGCTGTCACCTCCCTCTGCCCAACTCTGGCTCTCTTGAGGCCTTCTCCTCATCCTGCTGCTGTTGCTGCTGTAGGTTCGGAGGCTGAGAACAGTGAGATCTCAGTTGCCAAGGCGGGGACTTGAGTTTAACAGGGCAATGCAGGCAGGGCTCCCTGGGCTCCTTGGCTCCCCAGCCTGTCACCTGTTGGAGGGCCTAGCAGGGGGCTCCTCCTCATCTTGCCTGGGCCCAACCAGGGCCCCTCAGGGGCTGCCAGCCACTGGGGCTGCCCTGCAGCCTCCATCCCAGCGGGCATGAGGCCCTGGCTGGCAGCAGTCCCCAGCTAGCAGACTCTGGACTCCTTATCTCCTGGCATCCACCCCCAGGTCAGAGAGGGTCACCTGTAGACATCCAGGAGTGGGAGGACTCTCTCCACTCACTCTGCACCCTCCCCTCCACTATCTCTGGGGAGTCTGCAACAGAGAAAGGAGAAAGAGGTCCTCCCAGAAGAAACCCTCATGGCAGAGGCTAAGACCATGTGCCCCCAGAGACAAGTGATTTCAGTGTTCCGGGACCACGGGCAATCTCATCACTGAGGAATAAACAGAACCCTTCCTTGGTCTTCCCCATCAAATTACTCTGTACAGGAGAGGGCAGTCCCAATCCCCAGCACATACAGTCTACTCACAGCACCACTGCTTGGATCCCAGGGCTCTGTCAATGCTGAAACTCTCCTGGACTGGAGAGGGGTGTGGGCAGGTAAGGAAAGAGGTGGGAGGGTTTGAAAACAGGACCAGTCCTGTGATTGACATATACTGTTCGTACACTCGTACGCACACTCGGGCATATCATAGGCACTGTGAGTCTTTCTTAGACATCATTAGCTGGGAAATGGATTATTTCTTCCCTGAAGAACTCAACGTAGTTTACAGAACTAAAAAGGAAGAACACCTCTTTTCCCTAAGATTGGCCAATGAGTGGCCTATTCCAAAGGTTGAGAAACTGCATCCATAATACTGAGGAGGAAAGGAATCCACCCTGTGTTTGGGCTCACATCATCCCTACAACCCAACCGGCCGCATCAGCTTCTGGGACCCCTAAATTACCACTCCATTCCACACAAATGGTGATGACCAGGCCTCGACCACACAGGGCGCTAACAGACCCGCAGAGGTGAAGCAGCTTCTCACTGCTGGAGCGCACGTGATGGAGCCACATTTAAACACAGGACCATCTGGCACAAAAGCCCTGAAACCTCCCAAACCCCGCCCACCAAGTGAAGTAGAGTGCTCTCCTCTGAACCTAGATTTACCCAGCAAAGAGACTTCTCTTGTGCTGCTTGCTACTTTACTCTTCATCTGTTCTTTCTGCCCAAGATCTGCACAGGAAGGGCAGGAGCCAGGCCTTCTGCCCGCATCCAGCACAGGGGTCCCCCGAGCACAGACCAGCCACTGTGCATTGGAGTTGGCTCTTCTCCCTGGGACAATGCTGGGTTTGGATTTGAGCTCAGTCACAGAGCTCTTGTACCTCAAGGAGCCCACAATTCTCACTTCTCCTGCCTAAAGGCCAAGCCCAGCTGGATATAATGGTACACACCTCCCAGCACTCTGGGAGCCTGAAGCTAGAGGATCATAAATTCGAGCTCAGACTAGCAATTTAGCAAGTCGCTGTTGGAAGGAAGGAAGAAAGGAAAGGAAAGGAAAGCCAGCCAGGGGATATAGCTCAGTACAAAGGCCCTGGGTTCAATCCTTGGTACTGCCAAAAAACAAAAACAAACAACAAAAAACCCCAAGGTCAATAATGTGGCCACTCCCACCCCTTGGGTTACTGGGTTTCTCAGCTAACACCTGGCTCATCTCCCCCAGAGGTGAGGGGAGTAACAAAGGCCAGATTAAGCAGGAAGCGGCCTTCCTGCATGGTGCTTCCGGAAGAAGAAACAATATGCACGGTCTCCTAGTCCACTGTGGCCCTAGTCACACCTGCAAAGCAGGTGCAGGTAGGGGACCACTGATCTATCTTCTGACTACTGCACAGGTGATGAGAAACTCACCTGGGCCTCCAACAGGAAGGAGAATATGCGGCTTTTATGTCTAGCTGCTAAAAGTTGTGATTCTGGATATTCCTTCTCTTGTTCCATCAAGGAGGTGAGACCCTCCTGAGTTTCTAGTTTTAGGAGGTAGTCATTACAGAAGTATTCAGACTGTGCGCAAGAGAACCATCTGACCTTAGTACCGTTCCAAGCTCTCTCCAAGGTCGCAGAGGAATTTCGGAGCACAGCCAGAAGCCAGGGTAGCCACCCCCAGGTCGGTCCCCACCACCTGATGGCATCACCACCCCCCAGCAGGCTCCACCTACCCCAATGGGGGGTGGGGTACTTAGGAAGAGAGGACTATAGTCACAAATCCAAACCCAGGCTGCAAGGAAGAAAGATCCTGCCCTGCCATTTAGGTCATGGGAGAGCACTCAGCCCTTCACCAAATCACACTCAGAGTCCTCTTGGACACGCAAGCCATTTAACCATTTGGAGAACCTAGGCCCAGGCAGACGCCAGATCCTTAAAACTGAACCCTGGCTTAACCAGCCCTCCCGATCGCAAGGTGAAAATGTTTGGATGCCATTCTGTCCCTGTAACCCTGAAACACCAAGAGGGGCAGACTGAACCTTGACCACTCAACTTGGTCAGGACTAACCAAAAACAGCCAAAGAGCCATCCTCGCGGTTCGCCAGGTGAGTTTAGCTCCGTCCTCCTCTGCTGTTCCCGGCTCCAGCTCCCGCCCGGCTGCAAGATCTGGGCCACTGATCTTCAGCCGAGGGGTGGCCTGGCGCGGGTGAGGGTATACAGTTCCTGGAAAGCAAAGCCCAGACACCACAGCCCCAACCGAGCGGCCAGGCAGCACATCAGATTTACCCATCCGCTCTCTGCTTTTCTGCGCCCCCCGCCCCAGGAAGCCCATCTCAGCCTTAGCGAAGCTACTGACGTCCTGGGTGCCCTTCTCCGGCTCGCACATCCCGCGCTCTCCAGCCGAAGGGACAGCACTGTGAGCTCGCTCCCCTCTCCATCGTGGAACCCGCTGCCGGTCCCCCTCCCCGCGCGTCGCGCCCATCCCGCACGTCCGCTCCCCGCACTCACCTGCATCTGGCAGCCGGAGCCGGGCCCGCGCAGCCTCACCCACCAGGCCAGGGCGGCTCGGTCCGTGCGTCCGCACACACTACTGCGCCCCCCCCCGCCCCCCGCTGCGTCCGGCCCCCGCCGCCGCGCGCATGCCCAATATATATACCGGGCGCGTCAGCGCAGGGCCCGCCCCCGCCCCGCCCCGCCCCGCCCCGAGCGCCTCCGGGCCTGCCACGTGGGGCGGCCGGCGAGCAGCGGTGGGGATCTCGCCAGCAGGCCTGCGCGTCGCGGGCCCAATCTTAAGACGCTCGGCTTCACCCAGTGGCCCTCGCCTTCCATCCCAGAGTCTCCGAGGCCGGGCAGTCTCCTCCCTCCCCAGATACCTCCCATTACACCTTCTCCCCTACGAGGGAAGCGCTCACCTCCTCCATCCCCACTCTATTGGAGGAGGCGCACCCCGCTTGATACGTGTGTTCACTTTTAAACGTTTCCTTCCCCGTCTCTGAAATGTACTGAAGGAGGGGCAGCTGCAGAGACTGTTTCTTCTGCATACTTCCACCAGCCAAAACCACAATGTCCTGTTCCAGTTCCAAATAAACCATATTATATTCACTTTTCAAATTAGACTTCACTCCACTTCGCCCAGACTCCTAAGGAGTCTTCTCTGTTAACCCACGCGCTGCTAGCTTGAGGAAAGTCCTAAGAGTCTCTTCCGATGTGGGATGGGCCTATTGAGATGGGTATCAGGCCTCGGAAATGCAAATTTCTTGAGAAAATAAACTACCCATCGGATCCTCATTGTTGGGTCCTGCTGGACATTAGGATTATTTCCTCTGGGGCTAAGCCAGCTACCACCTGGGACTGGGAGACCCAGGGGAAGGGTTTCCTAGCAGAACTGCGGCCAGTTAGTACCGAAGCTGTTACCTTGCCCAGCTGATACCGGGAGTCGCTGAATTTGTGCGGAGAAGAAAGACAACATCCCACTCTGAGCGGGTCTCAGGTAGAGAGCACCCTTGAAGGCGGCGCTAAAATGGAAAGGAAAGCAGATTGTCCCCGGAGCAGGTGGTAGGAAGGACCCGGTGCTCAGTAGCCACTGTCCTCCCAGGGCTGGGAGAGAGGGGGAGAAAGCATTGAGGTGGGGCCAGAACCTTCTGGTCACTCTGGAACAGACTAGCTGGGACTGGGTTATTCTAAAATTCAGTTATCCTCACCCTGTCATTACAGTGCTCCAGCGGGTCTGGGGGGAGCCAGGATATTCCTCTCATTTATTTTCCAAGTAATTTCAAGGTAATGGTATCTCTTGCAGAATTTCCCCAGAGCCCCTTCATCTCTGTAATAATCCTTTCTATTTACCTTTCTTGGTTCAGCTCACAGTGTTTTGCAGACATTATGTCATCCACGTGGGACTCTAATCCGAAGTCGGAAAAGGTCAGTCCCTATCAGGACTTTCCGAGGGTACTGGAAAAGAAATGAGAAGCCCACCCAGGTTTAAAGTCAAACAAAATGCTGCAAACACACACAGCTCAGAATAGGATGAAGCGCACATCCCAGAGGAGTGTTAGTCTCTCCCTGAAACCCTGGTCCCCAGCAGTCCCCTGGCTCTTCTAGGCAACCTGTCACTACTACACCTGGCTTCTGTCAAAGACCTTGCTCAAAGTACAGATGAGGCGGGAAGGCTGAGACACCCCACCACCGGGCCTATCATACAGTCTCTCGTTTGCACCCAGAGTAAATGTGGAGCTGCCAAAGTCCACATGGGCACCCAAAGCTGATAAGCTGTCGGTAATTCGTGAGAAGCTGCGGGAATACAATTAATTATTAACACAGCTCAGATCAAAAGTGCTGTAAGTCTCCAAGTCCATCCCCACACAAAATTCTTTAGGAGGACCCTGGCTAAATCCTCTCGTCATTGATAGTGCTGTTCCTCATGCTTAGTGCCAGTTTGGGGCCCCAAATCTCTCATCCTTCCCTTAACATGCCCTTCTCCCCACTCCTCTCCTTATCCCATTTCTACCCGTCAAAACTCCAACTCTCCAGTCACCTTCCCCTCAGCAAGCTTCTCGATTGTTCTACAGTCTCTTTAAAATGATCTACCCTTTCAAGCTGTTTTGACTGTAATCTACATTTTAAAAATGTGTGTGTGTGTGTGTGTGTGTGTGTGTGTGTGTGTTACTGGGGATTGAATCCAGGGCCTTCATATTACCCCTTTTTTGAGACAGGGTCTCACTAAGTTGACCAGGCTGAGTTTGAACTTGCAGTCCTCCTGCATCAGCCTCCCAGAGTGCTGGAATAACAAGCATACACCACCATGTCTGGCTCCCATTAAAAAACTATTATATGCTATGCATCATAATCCCAGCACTCTGGAAGCTGAGGCAGGAAGATTGCTGAGTGTTCGAGGTTAGCCTGGGCTATATAATGAGTTCAAGGCCAGCAGAACTACGTAGTGAGACCCTGTCCCCTCAAAACAAAGAAAATAATAATAGTAGTAGATCATTACTACAATACCAGTAAAAAATACTATAGTAAGCAAAACATTTCATAAAATGGGAGCTGGGAGCATAGCCCAGTGGTACAGTACTTGTTTAGAATGTGAGGGGCCCTGGTTTGATCCCCAGCACCTCAAAAAAAAGCCCTAATGTCAGTATACACAATTATACAATGCAATGATTGTTTATAATTCCATTTTTGAAAAGTAATGACAAATGACAAACACTACATTGATTTGAATATGGTGTATAGCACATAAATTTTTTTCCTTCAAAATATTTCATTGCTGTCTCTGACCCTATTAGATCTTAATCTCTCTTGATTACAAGAGGTTTCCAAATGCAGCTGTATCCCCAAAGGTAACGTCTTGCATATAACCAATTCTCAGTAAATATGTGTTGGATGAATGGACAGGCTCACTACCAGTTTGACATTGGGCAATATGTAAGGGAACTGAGCACAAAAATCTGACATTTCCTTTGCTGCTATTTCCCTTCTGACCAGAGACCACACCTACCTCTGCCAAAAGGAGAGAACAGGCTTTCAAAAGAAACCAGAACACACACACACACACACACACACACACACACACACACACACACACCCCCCTGCCTAATTGACAAGCTCAGCTCAAGGTCAAGGTGGGCTTCTCCAAAAGACCACAGCTTTTCTACACCCTGTTAGGAGAATTTTTCGGGCTAGCATAACAAATTTAAGAGAATCAAAGGGAATGTGAAGGTCCTCTTCAACCCCAAATCAGATCCTAGGGCTTGTATGCCAGCACACTACACTGTCAGCTGGAGTGTTAGAACATCATGAGAAGCCTCTGTGTGAATCGGTTCTGCTACCCTCTCATGGGTATGCAGAAAAAAAGACAACTGAGGGAAATAACTCTTTGCTGGCAATGGTTCACAGTGTACCCTATCAATCCTCACCCCCCCCTTGCCATTATAGTAATTTGAGCCTTTTTTTCTGAACAAGTATGGCTAAAAGTACACTCGTTTTGTTAATCTTTTCAAAGAAATAATTTAAAAATTTTTCTTTTTCATTAATAGTTCTTTTCTGTTGTTTTGTTTCGTTTGTTGTCACAGGTGCTCATTATGTAGTTCAGGATGGCCTTGAACTCATTATGTAGCCCAAGCTGGTGTTAGATTTGTGATCCTCCTTCCTCTGCCTCCCAAATGCTGGGATTACTGGTATGTGCCACTGTGCCTGGTTCCATAAATGGAAAGTTCTTTAGTTTCTGCTTTGATCTTTATTTTTTGCTTGTTTCTGAGACAAGTTCTCACTATGTAGTCCAAGTTGGCCTTGAACACACTAGGTATCCCTAACTTGTTTATTTATTATTATTATTATTTTTGGTACCAGGGATCGAACTCTGGACCTTGCTCTCGAAAGGCAGGCGGCGGAACCACTGAGCTAAATCCCTGGCCCCCTAACTTGTAATTATCCCGCCTCAGCCTCCCAGAGTGCTGGGATTGTAGGCATGCACCACCATGCCTGGCTAAATAATATTATTTTTAAAATAAACATCAGAGATAGGTATGGTGGTGCATGCTTATAATCCCAGCACTAGGGGAAGCTAAGGCAGGATAGTGAGTTTGAGCCCAGCCTGAGCAATTTAGGAAGATCTTATCTGAAAATAAAAAGGGGAGGGGTGCCGCCTGCCTCGAAAGTGCAAGGTCCGAGCTTGATCCCCGGTACCAAAAAAAATGGGGGGAGGGTAGGAATGTAGCTCAGTGTGAAGGCTTTGGGTTCAATCCCTAGTACTGAATAAAATTTAAAAAATAATTTTTGTCCTCACTTTTGAATAAATGCTTGGCTGGGAACACAATTCCAAATTGACAGTTGCTCTCCCCCCCCCCTTTTAAAGACAGGGTCAGGCTGGCCTCAACCCACAATGTAGCCCAGGCTGGCCTCGAACTCACAGCAATCCTCCTACCTCAGTCTCCCAAGTGCTGGGATTACAGGCATGTACCATCATGCCTGGCTACAGTTTCATTTTTAGGTTATTATTCCTTTTGTCTTAAAACATCTATTATGTTTCATGAATAGTTGACTGCCTTCTTTTTTAAGCCATCTTTTTCTCGTTTTAAGATACTGTCTTTCATTCTCTTATACATCAGTACAGTACGTCTAATAGTGGAATTGTTTTTCTCTTCAATGAGTTTCTCCAGTTAGATGATTCATATGACTTTAATTCTAGAAGATGCTAACTGTATATCTGCCATATTGTCACCCATTCTATTTTAATCTATAGAACTTTTCAACAAATGTCGAGCCCTCACACCCTCTTTCATCTCCTCTCTTCCACTCTCTCCCATAGGTCCTGTTTTTACCTCTGCGCTGCGATTCAATTGGCTGCCTTGGTTTCTGCTGGCCTCAGGTGCTTTCACCCATCTAGGTCAATCCTGTGCTATTTTTTCAGCTTGAGCTTTTGGGACACCACCATGCAAATTCAGACTACATACACCTGTTTGTGGGCCCTGGCTTGGGGATTTCTCATCATTTTCCTTTTATCTATGTCTATCCATATCCCTGTTCAAACATCAAGTTTCCTTTAGGTATAACCCCAGCACTCTGGAGGGATGGTTTGAGTTCAAGACCAGCCTGGGCTACATAGCAAGACCTGTCTCAAACAAAACAAGACAACTGGCAAGCATCCCTGCTGCTAACCCAGGACAGCTGGCAGAAATTTCTAGTCCCTTTCCAGGTTCCAGCTTTCTTCATCCAGGAGACTTAACTCCAGCCATGCCATACCTCACAGGGTCTGAGGCCACATCTCCTGTCCTTACCTGGAATGAAAGACCTCACTGCCCCTGCACCTGCATTTTGTCCCTAAACCTCAGAGCTGAGTTGGTAGCATTACCTCTGTGGCTCCCCTTTCTTTCTTGTACCTGGATATTGTCCTTCCTACTTCCTTCCCTGCTCCTTCTTTTTTTATCTCTCCTTCCTTTCCCCCAAGTTTAGTTACACAGGAATGAGTATTCTACTTTGGCATAAACTGGATATAGTCTTGTGCACCTGCAATCCCAGCTACTCAGAAGGCTGAGCCAGGAGGATCACTTGAGCCCAGGAGTTCAAAACCAGCCTGAACAATAAATTGAGACCCTGTCTTAAAAACAAACAAAAACCCCCAAAACCTATTATGACCAGAATTTTTCAGAATGGTCAGATCAGTCTGCCATGCTGCCAAGAGTCTTATTTAAAAAAAAAACTCTTTTAAAGAGTTTTAGGTTCCCCGCAAAACTAAGACTGTAGAGAATCACCATGGTGGTGAACCTATGACACGTGTTGTTTTTCTTTTAAGAAAATGGATGTTGATGTATGAGTTGTTTTTTATAAACTAAAACCTCAGTATTCAGGTTTAATTGCAGTGTTGGCACTTTGCGGTTAAGCGGGTTTTAGTCTCTAAAAGGTTTGCTATCACTGGTATAGAAGTTTCTCATATACCCCTGGCCTTCCCCACTATTTTCATCCCCCACCAGAGTGGTCTATCTGTGACGACTGATGAAGCTCAATGGACAGACACATTATTATCCATAGTTTATATATGGGGTCACTCCTGGTATTGAACATTCTGTGGGTTTTGATAGTCATGACATGTATCCACTATTACAGCATTATAGTCAATAGTTTCACTGCCCTAAAAATCCTCCGTGATCTACCTGTTCAGCCCCATCTCCCCAGCCTTTGGTCCTGTCTCCACAGTTTTGCCTTTTCCAAAATGTCTTACGTTGGAATCATAAATTATGCAGTCTTTTCAGATTGGTTTACTCAGTAATTTGCATTTCAAGTTCCTCCGAGTCTTTTCATGACTTCATACCTCATTTCTTTTTAGCACTGAATAAGATCTCACTGAATGGATGCCTGATAGGTTATTTATCCACTCAGCTACTGAAACACATCTTACTCCTTCTAAATTTTGCAATTCTGAGTAAAGCTGTGCTCAGGTTTTTGTGTAGATGTTGTTTTCACTTTCTTTGGGTAAAGGCCAAGGAGTGTGACTGCTGAATCATATGGTAACATTGTTAGGTTGGTTTTCTTGGTGCTGAGGATTGAACCTAGTGCTTCACACATGCTAAACATATACTCTACCACTGAGTTATACCTTCAAACACGGTTCATGTTTTATAAGCCACCAAACTGTATTCCAAAATGGATGTACCATTTTACGTTCCCACAAGCAATAAGTAATAGTTCTTTTGTTCCACACCCTCAATACTATTTGGCGTTTTGGTGTTTGGCCTTTGCCAAAAGTAACAGGCATGCAGTGGAATCTCAGTTTTCACTTGTGTTTCCCCCAGGACACACAATGTTGAGCAGCTTTTCATATACTATCCATTTGCTATCTATATACCTTCTTTGTAATGTGTCTGTTCAGGTTTGTTATCCATTTTTTAGTTAAGTTGTTAGTTTTCTTATTAAGTTTGTGTTTTTATGTTGTTGTTGTTGTTTGTACTGTGGATTGAACCCAGGGTCTTGTGGATGCTAAGTATGTGCTTTAACACTGAGCTACACTCCCAGCCTCTTACTGTCTTAAAGAGTTCTTTGTGTATTTTGGATAATAGTACTTTATCAGATATGTGTTTTGCAAGTATGTCCTCCAAATCTGTGGTTTGTCTTCTCATTCTCTTGATTTTCCTTATTTTTTGAAAAGAAAAAGAAAATCCAGACAGGAAAAGTTACTTAGAAACTCAGCTAAAGCTAAATATAGAGTTAAAAAAGAAAACAGGCTCTTCTCCAATAATCCCACACCTCAGAGAATTTAATTTCAGGCCCCAAAACTTTTAAGGTTTTCAATATAAAGAGCTAGACATTTCTAAAATTCCTTCCTTTTGCACATCATTTAACAAAATGCTGCTCAAGTAAAAAAGGGCTGTGTAACATACTGTATAAAGCTTAGGTACTTTCTAGAATGAGTTCAAAAAGCACTGTATCTTTTTTTTTTTTTTTTTGGGTACTGGGGATCAAACTCAGGTCCTTGCGCTTACGCAGCAGGTGGCGAAACCACTGTGCTAAATCCCCGGCCCAAGCACTGCATCATTTAAAAACAGAATCTCTAAATAAAGTGGGAAAAATATGGTGTTTTAAAGGTGGGGGGTTGAAGTGAGCAGCCCAGGATCTTTGGGACAATGTCTCTAGGGGTCCCAGACCCCTAGTGGAGAGCATATGTAAAGAGGGACAAGTATTAAAACAAAGGGTGGAGGAGACCACCCTTGGAAGCGGGCTCTCAAATTCTCTCTTGAGCTAACAAAAACTGATGGGAAAAGACATCTAAATCAAGAGAAACACTAATACACACACAAAATGAGTGCCTCATTTGTCCAAAAGTGAGATTGCTAGTTATCTTTTCCAGTAAATTTTCCCACCCAGCTAAGGGTGAAAATACCTAGTTACTAACACTCATGCTATACCTTGTATGCAGAATAATAAATGAATAATTCTGTGTGCAGCTACTTGAAGGCAAAAAGTTTTCATATAATACATAAATGACACTATTTCAAACACAATTCACATTTATATAAATCTGTTTTATTTTCCACCCATGAGCCAATCATTCGTATTAAAACTGAAAAAGGAAGAATGCCAGGAATAAAAAGTGAAGATATGTTGGTATTATATTCAAGTATTTGTTCTCATTATCTAAGAGAAGAATATTAGGAAATCCAACTTCAAAAGAGAAATTCAAAATGCTTCCAAAGAAAACTGGGAAACTGATTTATCTTTTCAGCCAGAGACCAATGGTTCAATCTGCCTGATTCTGTGGCTTTTACATTCCAGGTTTAGCACCACCCTATGTCAGGGGCTCCAAATAAAACCAGAAGTGCACTTGAGAACCATCAGTGCTCATCCCTTCCCAGTCTGTGGTGATGTCACAAACTAAAAGCTCTCCTGGTCTCTTTCTGTTTTCTGCTGGCAGTGCTGGGGACTGACTGTCATGCTAGGTAAGTGCTCTTCCACTGAGCTGCACACCCAGCCCTGCTGTTTCTTTTAAGGTGCTTGAAGGTGAAGTAGAATCTCATGCACTGTTGTATAAAATTGGTGTTTCTGCCCTGTCCTCTCCTTTCCATCACACCAATAAATAAATAAATGACTGCAGTAGTTAGGCAAATACAAATTCAAAAGGATAAAACTGTGTTTTAAAATCTAATAAAGCAAGATATGATAGAACTGAGCTGAAAGGACAGGATGATTTTTAAAACACACAGAAAACCACTGCATTGGCCGAACATTGAAACTCACAGGCAGGGTAACAACTTCCAAAACTGTAATGTCTAGACCTTGCTAACAGTGTCCCATTTTCCAAACCAATTTCTGGAAATCTGCCCTGGGATTCCAAAAAATTCTGAGCAAGTGAGCCCACAGCCAGAAAAGGCTCTTGTGTAAGAGAAATGAGTATTCCCATTACACACAGACACACACACAGAAATGAAGCCCAGGCACCTGGGAGGAAGGTTCAATAAAAACTCACACCCCATCCTGAACTTTCCTAGCTGAATTCTTCCCACTGTTTTGTATTTTAAAAATTGAGGGCCGGGGATTTAGCTCAGTGGTTCTGGCACCTGCCTCATAAGCGCCAAGGTCCCAAGTTCAATCCCCAGTACCAAAAAAAAAAAAAAAAAAGCTATTAGTGTATTTTAAAAACTGAAACTTGGGCCAGGGATTTAGCTCAGTGGTTCCACTGCCTGCCTTGCAAGCACAAGGTCCCGAGTTCAATCCTCAGTACCAAAAAAAAACAAAACTGAAACTTATCGAAGATCAGTTATAAAGAGCAAAGGTGTATGTGTGTGCATGTGGTATACTGTGGGGAGCAAGAAAGCAACACGGTATTTTGTAAAGTAACTGAAAGGTACAGAAAAAACTTCAACTGTCAGGGATTTAGCTCAGTGGTTCCACTGCCTGCCTCGCAAGCACAAGGTCCTGAGTTCAATCCCTGGTACCAAAAAAAAAAAAGAGAAAAGAAAAGACTTCAACTGAACCTTCTGAAAAGAAAGTCCACGAACAGCTGTGAGACACCCAACTCACAACATAGGAGTCATAAACACAACTCCCAGGGAAGATTATGGCAGCAAGGGCCCAACCATGCTACGTTTAGTTTTACCACATGCCTTTCACATCTGCCAGCAACAGCAATGCCTCTAAAAAAAACTGCCTCACAGGCTTCTCTTTCACCTTTCCCAGTTGCCCAAATAAAGTAATTACTTTAAGACACATGCAGTGACTTCATTAATTATCACCTCTGGTACCAGAAATGGGAACCACTTCTTAAATACCACTTCCAGGTATAATTGCTGCTTCTACAGGTTTCTACAGCTCATGTTGGCTTTGGAGGGTTATTTGTTTTTTTTTTTTTGGTGATGGGGATTGAATGTAGGGCTCCATGGATTCTAGGTACCCTCTACCACTACGCTATACCCCCTGACCTTGGGGGGCTCCCAGGGGTTCATGGGCCTCACCACACTCTCACAGGAGGAGCCATTTGCTCTACAAAGGTATCAAGGAAATTTCCAGCTGTTACTTAACTGAACACTTTTTTTGGTACCGGGGATCCAACTCAGGACCTTGTGCTTGTGAGGCAGGCAGCAGAACCACTGAGCTAAATCCCCAGCCATTCCAGCTATTACTTAAAAGCCTGCTTCTTGGTGATACGAGCTTTAAAAGAAAAAAAGAAATCTTACTCTACGAGTAGGAGAACGGGAAAACACCAACACAAAACCCAATTCCAAGTCTGCTTGTTCCTCAAAGCTGAGGTGAGAAGTCCAATTTTGCCTTGCCAGCCTAGGTCCAGGCCACACAGTCACAGGAAGAACAGGTTCTCACACAGCTGGATGGCTGGCTCGTGATGCAAGATCTGTCCTGACAGAAAGGCAAGCTTGTGGGCATACTTGCAAGGGGCTGGGACTCGGATGGTACCAGGCCAGTTCCAGTACAGGTGGCACAGTTTGAAAGTCAACCTGCAGGCAAAGAATAAATGTGATCATTTTCACCTTATGCCTCCAAGTCAGGGTGTGATTATGCACACCAATCACTCACTGGCACACTGGAGAACCCAGGAATTCAAGGTGAAGCTTCTGGGAACCATTATTTTTACATGGAATTGTTCCTGTTCCCACTATTAGTGAGTCAGAGGACATGGGTGAATCCTCTCATTTTAGGCATTGTCCTGTTGTTCTACTAAAACAAGAAAACAATATGAAGAAAACTCCTTTTTTTGTCCACAAGAAAGGCTACAGAAGCCAAGTATGGTGGCACTCACCTGTAATCCCAGCACTCTGGGAGCCTGAGGCAGGAGTATGGTAAATTCAAGCCCAGCCTGGACAATTTGGTGATTTAGCAAGACCCTGTCTCAAAATACAAAATAAAAAAGGGCTGGGAACGCAGCTCAGTGTCAAGGCCCTAGGTTCAATCCTCAGTACTACAAGGAGAAAAAAAAGAAGAAAGAAAAGGCTGCAGAATGTAAAGTACTTCAGCAGAGTGTTCATATAACCTGAACTCAAGCAAACATGGTCTCTAATCTAGCTCTATATCATAATCATCTGCAGCCATTTTAAATTTATTTTTATTTATTTATTTTTGGGACAGAGTCTTGCCATATAGTTCATGGCCTTGAACTCACTATGTAGCCCAGGGTGGTCTCAAACTCATGGCAATCCTCCTGACTCAGATGTTGGGATTACAGGTGACCCAAGTGCGGGATTACAGGTGTGTGCCACCACATCAGGGTTTTTTTCTTTCTTGTGTTTGTTTGTTTTGTTTTGTATTGTTGTAACAGAGTCTTGCCATGGAGCAATTTTAAAAAATATGAATGCTACTGGGCACAGTAGCATGCACCTATAGTCCCAGTGACTCAATAAGAGGTTGAGGCAGGCAGATTGCTTTAGCCAGGAGTTCAAGACCAACCTGGGCAATATTTCAAGACCCTGTCTTTTAGAAATACATGTTTGAGGGGCCGGGGATTTAGCTCAGTGGTTTTGCCGCCTGCTGCACAAGCACAAGGACTCGAGTTCGATCCCTGGTACCAAAAAAAGAAAAAAAAAAAAGGTGGAGTATCACTTGATTTGTCTAGGACCCACAGTGTATCTAGGTGGGTCAATGGTGCCATTATAGTCTATGTCATCCTTCTCCCCTTCTTCTCTGGCATTGTTTCCCTGCTTTGCTTCCTTGCCACCAAGAACTAAGGAACATCCTGCTGCTGCTCTTGCCTTCCACCATGATATTCCTGCCTTGTAGCCCATTTTTACCTTATACTGAACTTCTCTACCTGTGAGCCATAGAAAACTTTTTGTCTTTTAGCTTCTAGGTATCAGGAATTGTGTCTCAGCAATGAAAAATGTAACTAATAGGAGGGATACATACAAATAATATTGTAAAATGTGATGAAAATACTTAATTTATCTAAAATTTGGTGTCTTCTCTTTAGAAATCTTATCGGGATTTTTGTGAATACAAAATTAGAAACAAAAAATATTTGAAGACTTCACACATATAAAATATATAAGGACCTAGGGCCGGGGGTTTAGCTCAGTGGTTCTGCCACCTGACTCAAAAGCGCAAGGACCCGAGTTCAATCCCTGGCACAAAAAAAGCAAAACAAACAAACAAACAACAACAACAAAAAATATATATTTATATATGTATATGTATATATGTGTGTGTGTATATATATATACCTATATACACACATATA